AGAGAGAGAGAGAGAAATAGAGAGTTCCAAATCACACTAATGTATAAATATATTAAATTTAACATTGTTATTCCATAGAAGATAGAGAACTATAAGTGTATATAATTATAAGTATATAGATACCATAAAACATATACCCATACTTTTTACAAAAAAATAGGAGTACAAACATCAATATCATAAATAAAATTACACATATGAGAGTAATTTTTTGAACGTCTGCTTTCTCAAGGACCATAGCAATAGATTTACAATTCTCTTTTTCAGATAGAGATGCATCTACTCCATTAGCAACACAAGCATCTAGCATCTGAGACACAAACCTTTTAACCACATGCTTCCTATCTTCACTTAGAATTTCATCCACTCTAAATAGCCGCATCCAGTCTCATTCTAGCTGCTAACACGATAAGATAAATGTGTGTTAGATATATGCTTACAAATACACACCAATATGCTACATTATGTTAATCAATAAATATTACATACCTTCCTATTAGAGCATTTATAGAAATGCGTATTGTAGTTATCGTGTGTCATTGATATAAACACACGCATTCAACTACATCTTGGTTTTTTCGTTTACAAATCCTTGGAGGGAATTGGTCATTGAGATCCATTCTCTAAAGAAGTCACAACGAATATATTAAAAACGTCATCACTCTATCACATCCATGGATTACATCAGCCATTGAAGTAAAAAGAGTTATTTTCAAAGTCAAAAGTTTGGAAACCATGTAATATTCATGTAATATTCATTTAGGCAAAACCATGAAGACCACAGGAAGTTAATGGAGAGTTCATTCTTCTTTGCATACACTGTAGGCATGGTTTAGTTAGCACAGCTGTGAAGTAGAGTTCATTCTTCTTTGCATCCATTGCATAGGTTAATGGGGAAGAAGACGCATGAATGACCTTTTCAATTTTTTGATTGAAAATATTTGAAACCAAAAATATGGTTAACCAATTAAAGAAAAAACAAATCATGTATGATTAACCACTTAAAGCACAAAACAAAAAATAATGTAATTGGAATGAACACCATATATGATAACCCTGGGATTCATTTGACAGCTACATAAAACATGGTAATTGATCACAAAGGAAATTCAAAAAAGACATTCATATGCGCATGACCTTGGCTGCAGATACAATAGCTTCACCCAATTGGGAACAAAATCTATTAGTAATATTTGGCTGTATTCAAGAAGTAGACATGATTATCATATAATGGCAAAAAAGCAAGCCACAATTAACAATATGAAAATGTAAGAAACTAAGACTTACTGCTGGAGCCTCCTCAATTATCTTCTGGTGGCTTCGCTGAACACTGCAGTCCCTTTCATTCAAATGTATGACACTACCATGTTTGTCTCCAAAGACCTGAAAATGCACTCAAAATAAGCATATTAATCACAATGGTCCATATTCAATGGGTGGCAAGACAATCTTTCAATATAGATCTTTAAGAGCACCAATGCAACAAAAGAGAAAAAAAATCTTGTGTATAAAAGGTTAAGAAGCCAGAAGAACTATACCTGGACTTCTATATGTCGTGGTCGAGAAATGTATTTTTCCACTAGAACAGTGTTTACACCAAATGAAGCAGTTGCCTCACGTTGTGCTCCCAATAGAGACTCGATAAATTCATCTGGACTTTCCACTATTCACATACCATGTACATGACATTTGCATCAGAAAGAAAATTTGAGGTGGATTCCACCAAAATTGTTTGAGATTCCACTAAAAAACCCCGAACTCCCCCCAAATCAATGATGGAAATTGTTTATAATAAATTGTATGAGTCAAATACAGAGAGAGAGAGTACCTGCGTGAGATGGTGCTCGAGGGGAAGAGACAATGCGTGAGCGGCCTTTGGTTTTTCCCTGAGGGACGGGCCTTTGGATAGTGAAGACGAGGGGCCGATGGGATTTTTTGAGCTATTAGGGAAGCGAAAGGCAGAGAGGGTGCACCAGCAGTAGGAATGGTAGAGAGAGCGAGAGGGGCTAAGCACAGGGAGCGAGAGGCAGAGAGAGAGAGAGGGGCTAAGCGCCTATCAATGGGGTGCATGATTTCGGTTTAAGAAGTTACAGGGAGTGAAAGGCAGAAACCAGGTAGGAGAGAGAGAAAACCAGGGAGAACAGGCTTGACACAAAGTTACAGGGAGTGAGAGGCAGAAAACCAGGTAGGAGAGAGAGAGAAAACCAGGGAGGAGAGGCTTGACACAGGGACGAGGAAGAGGAAGAAAACCAGGGAGGAGAGAGAGAGATAAAATCCCTTGATTTTGAAGAGAGAGCCGCTCATGTTTTGAGGAGAAGAGAGAGCCGCTCGTGTTTTTTCTCTGTGTCAACCGGTCAGTACTGTGTGTCAGCGGGTTATTAAAATTTTTTTTTTTGTAATCAACGGGGCAGGACCTTTGCAAACTCATCTTGACCATCAATTGCCCAACTTTTGATCACAGCCGTCGGGTGCATATGAATGGGTACGCGAGCGAGCTAAACTCATCATTTCTTTTTATTATATATATATATATATATA